AGTGCGCTACTTTATCTTCGGCTCGATTTTGAACCGCCTTTTTTTTCTCACTTTACGACTCTATTTTGGTATGGTAGCAGGTTCACTACAGGCTCGAGACTTGTGTGCCTGGAACGACGCCTGCACCTCAGTTCACGACTGTGGCTGGGTGGGTTTGTTACTTTGGAACGATCTCGGATCCGATACTGGCAGGACACGCTTCCGGCTCAAGTACGGTAATTGGCCTCGGTAGGGTAAGGCTGCTGGTCTGACGCAGGTATGAAACCGGGGTTTTGTTTTCATTTCTCAGGCCCTGCACCTGCGAAAATTGGTGCTGCTCCCACTGCTGGGCCGTTGGGCCCTAAGTGAATCCCACTGCACCGGCGTTGAACCTAAGAGCTTGAGTTTGCGAGAGCCCTCAGTCTGCTGTGACCCGCGGACTGGGCTGGTGTTCACATATAGTCTGACCAGTGAGGCATTGAGAAAAGAGGGGAAGACCAGTACGGGGGGGATCAGACGGGCGCGCAAGGCGTACCCAGCCCACAACCATGGCGTTCGAGAAACAGTCAGCGTGAGAGCTGCGTGAGGGGCTTACTGTATGAGCGTCTGAACAATCAAGAGGACGCGTTAACGAACCAGCTCGTGGGGGGGAGGGGATTCGGACAGAGGAGGATTGAGGACGTGCCTGGTGTACGTCGCCACCAGGACAACCCATTTCAGTCAAGGGGAATGGCGCGCTAGGGAGGAGGCAATGAGACAGATTCGGGCGTGCCAAGGGGACGTGCTCGGCGTACCAGTCCGCTGATGCTCTCACGGCAGAGAGCAGATCGCCCGGTTGACGAGAGGGAGAGAGAGAGAGTGAAGAGGAGGACATTCGACAACGGGGCGACGAGAGCCTCACTCAGGTGACCAGGGAGAACAGGGTGCACTGGAGCAAGCGAAAGTGGCGAACGCTGCTCGCTGGTATGGATGCGTGAGTGGCAGTCACACTAGCTGCTGCCCATGCGAGTTCTCCGCTGGCGGGGAAGAGAAGAGGGCGAGGCAGACACAGAGGGAATTCAGCGTGTACACAGCGTACGCAGCCCTCAACACTACATTTGCACGGAGAACGCAGCACAAGGAGCGGGGAAGCAGAGTATTGCCCGCCCCAGTTCGTTGTCCTTGCCCCACCTAGTGGTCAAAGCAAGTTCACAGGGTTGGTTATGGTAGGTGCTCACTTATGTGGGTAATCAGCGCACGGGAAATGCTAATTAATCCAGCCAGCACGACTTGCTGGCCAGCTTCCACGTTCGCGAAAGGATGCACAGCGAGAGCCAATCAAGGGTACCCATCAACTTACGGGGAAGAGGTAATCGGCATACGGGAGGAACACTCCAATTAAGCAACGAACCAAAGTCGGAACAAGCTGGCATTGCAACCAATCAATTGAGCTATGTACGTTGGACAAATCGTGATTGACAACGAGCATGGGTAAACGGCTATTTATTTATTTATACTGCAGCCCTCTGTTTGTGTATACTTGGCTGAGTCAGAACGCTTTATAAGTTTAGGTATTCTGACTTTAGGCCTGGCTAAGTTGGGCGCGCTCTGTAAGTTCAGGTGGCCTGACCTATGCCTTATGTAAGCTGGGTATAAAGGGTTTAACCATTGAGGGATAATGAACTATTGTTTGTTCAGGTATACCTTGGGATGGCGAGAGTACTTAGCTCTGTGGTTTGGCCTGCATGTGACAGAGTGAGGCTACTGCTTGGTCTGAGTTTCAGGTTGATAGGTAGTTTCTTTAGTCGCTCGCCGCGCGCTAGAGCGATAGGAGTTAGTTTCTATTCCTGCATTTTTTTAGTTAAGTTTTTTTACGTAGGTCAATTCTTGCATTTTCTGGGATCTTTTCTTATACTTGGCTTTGTATAAATCTTGACAAACTACTTTCTCTACGGGAAGCGCTGCCGAAATTTCTACAAATCCAAGGAGTTAGTCGAAATTGGACTTGTCAAAAGTTCAACTTTGTCTTTCCTTATATCTGACTTAGTAAAAATCTGAAAAGTCTCCTTTTCTAAAAGGAGTGGTGTCCAAATTTTTGCTAATTTAGGGAGTTAGACTAAAATTGGACTTTGAGAAGTCAAAGTTACGTTCGAATTCTGAACTTAGCCTCGTATAAATTTTGGAATAACACTTTTCTAAAGGGAGTGCTGCCGAAATTTCTGCAAAACTAAGAAGTTAGTTAAATCTTGTCTAAATTGAACTCGAGTTGTCTTTTGAGTTCATATCTGACTTAGTATAAATTTGGGAAGTCTCCTTTTCTAGAGGGAGTGTTGTCCAAATTTCTACTAATTTAAGGGAGTAAGACAGAATTTGATTTTCCAGAGTTTGAGTTTATTTCCGCTTTCATATTTGGGGTGATATAAATTATGGAAAGACACTTTTCCTACGGGAAGCGCTGCCGCAATTTTTTTGATTTAGAGGAGTTAGATTATATTTTGACAGGTGACAATTCTGGCGATCCCCCCTGTATAGGGGAGACTATGCCAGGGTCTGCCTTTGCTTTGGGGACTGCTTAAAGGTAGATTCAGACCTAGTTAACTAGGAGGATTAGAGTGAGAATGTGTTATGGAGTTGTATTCTCCATACACTTATGATTTCAATTTGGGGATTAGCCTATTATGTGTTACAGGTCCTCTTGGTCGTTTGATTCAGGATTGGGACTAGTTTCAGCTTGATCCTACAATGATCACATTCCGTTATCACTAATAACAGGTCGGTTGCCGATTCGTCGGTTTACGATTTAACTCCAATTCACTCCTGTCACTCAACCTAAAGGCTTTAGCCTTGAGATTTGAATTGTTTTGTTGTGTTTTTACCCGGACTTTATTGAATGACCATCCAACAAAAGTACTGAGTATTTATTTAAGAGTTGCACGAGTGAGGCTTGTATGGCTAAAGCGAGGGGTATGAGTGCGAGGAATGGTTGAAGTTGACCCCGTGTAGTGCGTTGACTTCTGGTTAAACCTTTGATGTGATTGCATGTATGGTTGTGGTTCGGCTTCGGGATGTGACTGTCTGCGATTACATACATATATGACTAAGAGGAGCCTCACTGTGACTGTGAGAAGTGATCGTCCTATATAATTAAACCTTATATACTTATAAGTGCCCTGAGTATTTGAGAGACCTACTGTAATTGAGCATAAGGGTTAACCAGATTGTGTCTTGATAGAAAAGGGGGATTCCCTTTTTACCCTTGCTTTTTAGAGTTTGTATGGTTGGACGTTGTAGTCCGTGGTAGCCGTCAAAGTCAAACCCCTTGACTTTTGCCCGGGCCTGGAGTAGGACTTACCCCCAGGGCCGCA